AGAGCCTCTTCACCCAATACAGAAGCCACTCAACATATGTGGCTATTTAAATCTAAATTAGTTAAAATTAAATAAAGTTTAAGAGTCAGTTCCTCAGTTGCATGAGCTACATTTGAAATGCCCTACAGCCACATGTGGCTAGTGGCTACCTATTGCGCAACACAGTTACAAAACATTTCCATCATTACAGAAAGTTCTACCGGACAGCTCTGCTCTAGAAAGCTGGTCCCCAGATAATTCCTACTCACTGCACCATTGTGCACCCAAGAATCTGACCTGAGATTGTGTTGCTAAAAGTACGTGGAAAGAGTTTGAAGAATGTTTGCCTCCCACAGGCTTGGTGGCTCATATCAAGTATCTCATTTGCTTCTTATCAGCTCTGCAAAGTAGGCCAGAATGGGATTATTGCTCCTACTTGACATACAAGAAGAACCAAGGCTCAGAGGAAGAAAGTGATTTAAGATCCCACAGCTAGTGGGTGGCAGGACTGGGAATCAAACCAGAAATCTCTATTTCTAGTTCAGACTTCCTGTAATATTTTTCATATAGAAGGGCCCTTAGAGACTAAGCAGTCTGAACGCCCTCATTGTACAAAAGAAGACACTAAAGATCAGAGAGGGAAAGAGATTTAAGAGGCACAGCAAACTAACGACAAAGCTGGAACTAGCAGGCTGGTCTTCAGCCCTCCGTCCAGGACCCCTTATGAGAGAGGAAAGAGAATGGGGATGGGAAGGGAAAGTGGGATTTCAAGTCCCCACGAGGGACTTCATTCTCATGGGTGGTGGTAGAGCATCAGGAAGCAGCAAATCTGTCCCAAGCTCATTCTCTCTCCCTCCTTCCCAGACCCAGAGGAGCTCTTTGTCCCCACAGAGGATTATTATGAGGTGGTGCAGCTGCATGGCCACCAGCCAGTCCTGCTTCCCTGCCAGGTGACCAACCCCTTGGCCCAGGCGACACTGCATCGGGAGTTCCCCCTTGAGGAGGTCCCAGTGGATGGGACAGACATCTCCTTTGATGTGAAGAAGGGCTTCACCATACCCCGGCCCTGAGCTTCTTTGGCTGGCTCCCTCTTCTGCTTGGCCAGCCTAGATGCCATGAGACAAATCTCTACCAAGTAAATGCTGATCTCCATCAACTGTGCATGAGCTTAGGGCTCTGGGTGGGCAGGGAAGGGGAGGATATGGTGAGAGATGCCCCTTTTGGGAACCTCATGTTTGGGTTCTGTGGATTATGGAGCTCTAGACAACCAACAAGCTTTCAACAACACTCCATGCATTCAACCATCTTGTCCAGACAGCCAGCCAATCGGCCACTGAACTAGCCTGCATCAGTTCAACCATCGATCCACCCATTCCCAATTAAGTTAAACTATTCCATTCATCCATCCTCCCTCAAACCAACCATTCCATTCACCCATCCATCCTCTATTAATTCATTATACCTATTCATACCTCCTCTATCAATTCAATCACCTTCAACCATTCATCCTCTATCAATTCAACCATTCCACTCATTCATTCCATTCAACCATTTGAACAATCAGTTCAACACGTTTGTCTCCATTTCTCTCCGCTCTTCTCCATAGTAGACCCATCTTCCTCCCCCAAACCCACCATCCAACCTTCAGTAACATCAGTCCAACTGGGAGAGAATTTCAATGTGACCTGCACAGTTCTGGGTGAGCCAGAGATTGCTGTGGACTTCAGTTGGGAATATCCAGGGCAGAAGGTAAGCAGAGGGTAAGAGGAGGCTGTGTGTATGTGTGTATGTGGTGGTGGTGTGCTGGGGCAGGGACGTGGGAATGAAGGGTTAGGATGAGGCCCAGGAGCGATCACAGCAGAGTGGAACCACTGCTTGACTGGGAATCCGATGAACCTAGATTCTAGTTCCAACTCTGACACTGCTTCTCCAAGCGACCTTGGGCAAGTCACTTTCTTTTACTGTACCTCACTTTCCTCATTTGGCAAATAGAGCTACTTCTCAGGTTACTGTATAAAAATGTATAACTTGATCCTTTGTTAATTTAATCCAACAATAATTATTGAGCACCCACCATGTGCTGTACTAGGTGCTGAGACTACAATAATAAGTCCAAAGAAATATAGATTCTGCTTTTTGCAAGTTTACAGTCTAAATGGGGAAGAGGAAATGAACAAATATGATCATCTAGAGAATACTAAGTGTTACATCATGGATAAAACAGGGCCATGGGATAGGGTCTACTTATGATAGAGTGGTCAGAGGTGACATTCAAGCTGAGACCAAACTGGCCCAAATCACAGAAGTGGGGCTTGGGCAAGTGCTCAGGCCCTATGGTCAGGTGTGTGTGTGATGGGAGATGGACCAAATGCATTAGCAGCTGTTTCCCCAGCACCCACTGTGGGCCCAGCCCTTCCCAAAGTGTCAGTGGAGAGGTGGTCATAGTGATGTTCTTTCCTCTCAAAGAACTTACCTCCTTAACCCTCAAACATCTGGACAGCAGCTATGCCAAATAGTAGGCTACCAACACTGATGACTTTAGGAATTCTTAAAAAGGTTTCCTGGAAGAGCTGGAATTTGACATGAGCCTTGGAGGGAGGGCTGGACTCAGCAAAGACATGATGAAGGTGAGCTCCCCGAGGTAGAAAGAGTGGGGGATCATTCTCCCACTTGTCAAAAGTGGAAACTGAGACCCAAGAGGGGTAAAAGAACACACAGATGGTTGGGAGACACTGGTTTTGCTATACCAGCATTTCCCCAAACATTCCTTGGAATGGTAGAATACCAAAAATCCCCCCACCCCCAAAAAAAGTGGTCTTAGGAAAACACTGCCCCTTATAACCATCACCAGCCTTGGAGATTCAAAATGCACATGCGCACATGACAGACTCAGTGTTCTGAGTCTCCCCAATTTAACTTTGCTTGACTCAGTGTTTCCCAAACAATTCTGGTAACGGAACCCCACCTTCCCCTGCTTTGGGGAGGGAGCAAACATTAACATCCCCATAGAACCAGAGTGCCACAAAACCCACACTAGAGGTGCTGCTCCAGGCTAAGTTACCTCCTGCATCTCCCTGAGCAGGGGAGGAGACCCCAGCTTCTCCCCAGGGACTCGACAAGCTTCACAGAGAACCTGGCCTTTCAGATGCTCTGATACGGAGATGTGACCCTGGACAAGTCACCTCCTCTTTCCCTGAATGGGTATCTGGTGCCTCTTACCTGCCCGCTGGTGCCTGAGTCAGAGACGGCACCTGGGCAGCTGACAGACTGTTACTTTTTGGCCCTGCAGCTGGGCCGAACCCTCTATGTCAGTGAGTGGGCTGACATGGTGTGCCAGGAGGGCAGCAGGAGGCAGGGACACCCTGTATGTGGAAGAGGCCTGGGCGGGGGACGATGGCGTCTACACCTGCAGGGACACCAAGCTTCAGGGCACGGGGACTGCCGCCACCCATGTCTGCGTGACCCAAAGCCCTCGTGTCTCCCCTGCCCCTTCCTATCTCCCTCCCTGGCTGCAGGCATCCGGGAGTGCAGCAATGGGCAGAAACAGGGATAGGTGACTTTGTGAACGTCAGTGTTTCTGATGCTAAGGAGGTCTCCCCACAGAGCAGAAAGAACCTTCGCATTCACCCCTTATGCTCCGCCAGCCCATCACTGCTTTCACCCCTCGCTTCAACCTCGTGGCCTCACTCCAAGCCCTGACCTTCAAGCCAGCCTTCACTCCAAGCCCGGCTCACTCCGAGGCTGGGCAGAGCGGGGGCACTGGGCGCCAGTACCCGAGGAGGGGGCCCAGAACCGCTGGTGAGTCACCCAGCCCCAGGACTTACTCCTCCGTGATCCCTGCCCCCAGCGGAGGTCCTCAGTGAGGACCCACCTTCTCCCTCTCCCAGGAAAACAGAGGCCAGGTACATATGATACCACGATACCACGTGTTCTTTTTAGTTTCCATAGCTTGTCTGCCCCAGGGTGAGGCTATGACCACAGTTTATCTCCTCACATCCACCACAGGCTACCTGTGGGAAACCCTACTTCCCGTAACTTGCCCCTTCTCTAGCCTGGCCCCTCTCAAGTAAAACAATGCTTTCTAAAGTGCATTCTGCAGCGTCTAGTGCTCCGGTTGGGGTAGAAACTTGGTCAAAGAAGTTTAGGAAATGCTGGACGCTTTGCTTCCTTCTCGGGACTTTGCAGGACACATTAGCTTATTAAAGGTTCTGACAAGTCCTGCAGTTTGCAGATCTGTTTAACTTAACTGAACCTAGAATTTCCCAAAATACTTGACCACTGATGCTTTTCTTGGTCATACCTATTAAAGTTCAGGCAGCCTTCAAAGCTGCATGAAGAAGTCCACGTGTGCTTCATTCCAGAGCTGTCCCCAAGGCTCCTGGATAACCTCTTTGCCCAGGGCCGGAGAGGCAGAGTCACAGCTGAACTCCCAGCACTAGAAATGGATGAAGACCAGGCCCGGGGGAATGAAGAGGGCAGTCTGGGATGACGGAGGAAACCTCAGCTCTAGTCATTGACTTTCCCTGAGTGCCGGTCCAGGGCCTAGAGCTGCAGCTTCGGGACCTCAGGCAAGGCCCTTTGGCTCCTGTGATCTTAGTTTGCTCTGCTGCTAAAGAGGGATAAGAAGCTGCCTCAAGGATCTTATGCAGAGCAGGGGAGGGAGGTGTATGTGAAAGCATTTCATTAAAATGCTCTATGCAGGGGAGGGGTTACTGTCATAGTCCCCAGAGCTTCCTGAGAAGAATCTTAAGTCCACAGACAGTCAGGGCTGGACAGGCCTGCTGAGGCTCGTTCCTCCACCACCCCTTTCTCTGATGGGTTCTATGGGTCTCCGTCAGGGATGGTAAAAGGAATTAAGGTGGAGGGCAGGAATGAAAGAGACCGGAGGCGGGTGGGGGCAGGTAGAGGGAGCAGGAGAAAGACTAAGTCACAGATCCGATCTTCCCAGAGCCTGGGGAGAAAGAAAAAGCACAAGACAAGACCTGGATGACAGAGGAGGTCCTAGTCGTGGCTCTGTGGGCCATGCTTCCCACCTCGGTTTCCTCATCTGTACAGGGATGAGGATCCTGCTCTCGCTGGTGTGTGTACTCAGACCCACTAGGCGGCACTGAGATTGAGGGTCCAGGAGAGCTGGAGAGTGAGCGTTGCCTGGTCCAGGAGGAGCAGCTCTGGCCATCACCCCTGGGCTGACCAGACTCTGGGACCGGGAGCAGGGGCATGCCCGATGGCCTGCCCAGCTTCTGCCTTGGCTGGGTTGGCTCCCTGGCACTGCCAGCTTCAAGGGCCTCCAGTGACCCCCTTACTTTTCCCAGTTTGATTCACAGGGTTTGGCCCACTTCCTCCCCTGTCTCTAGCCCCTAGTCTGACTTTCAGACAATCCTAGAATGGGGCACTGTAGTGACCAAGAGTCATTTCTTCAGTTCCCCCAACCATTTTAGAGGAGCAATAAACTGAGGCAGAGAGAAGGCCAGGGCAGAAGTGGGAACATCTGGGGGAAGTTGATGAGCAGCTGATGAGTTGGCAGCACAGCTGACAAGTTAGGACCAGGGGGTTGTCCCCTCTGTGTCAGATGGCCAAAGTGGCACAGGCTGCCCCTGGGAAAAGCTTCACAACTTCCCCAACTGGACAGACAGAAGGGGGAGGGAGGAAAGGTCTCCTCTTGCTTGTTCCCTGGGCCAACTCAAGGGAAGGCGCTTCTGGGGGCCTCCAAAGCCCCATGGGTGATTCTACGCGGCCCAAGCCCCCAGGGCTCACTGGGCACACGCCTTGGCTCCCCATCTCACTCCCACCCTCGTCCCCTCCTGGGAAAAGGGGAGGCTCCTGCTGTCTTCTCTGGAAAGTCCTTGACGGGGAGCTCGACCACAGGCATCATAGGGGGCCCAGACCTGGAGCCTATGTGGCCAGGAAGGAGACCTCTGTGGGGGTGACAGAGGCCAGAGGGAAGGTGGGGGAGGCCTCGGCCCCGAGGACCCGGTACAGCAGCTCCTCCTTCTCCTGCTGGAGCTGTTGCCGTAACTGTGCCTCCTTCTCCATGGCCTCGCGGGCGAGAAGCAGGTCCTCCGAGAGCTGCCTGTGGATGCAGACAGAGCCCAGGGTTGCCTACTGGGAACAGCCTCTCAGGGCCTCTGGCGACTGCAGAGACCAACCCATTCCTCTAGGAAGCCTGCCTTAGATGGGCCACCAGCCTGCCCTAGGGTCCCCCATCTCCCATCATTTGCCTGTACCCCAGAGGCAATTCAGTCCACGGACCAAGGAGTGTGGCCCGCACGGGCAGACAGCTCTGGGTTCAAATCTGCTCCACACTTAGCTGTGTGACCCTGGACAAGCTGTTCACTCTTGCCAAATTTCAGTTTCTTCTGAATTTTGTAAATTCATAAAATGGGAATGATAATAATAGGATCCAGCTCTTTGAGTAATTATAAAGTTAGATAATATATAGTCAATAAATTATGTCTGACACATGCTCTTACCTCTCATTTACTAAGCCCTTAGAACTGATTCATTCATTCATGTACATTTATTCATTCATGAGGCCTCTTGAGCTATAAGTTTCCTGTTCCGTCTTCCTGGACTGGGCTTTCCCATAAGGCCCACTCGGGGATGGGGACAAACAGATACTAACCAGGGCATTGAGACAGGTTTCCCGGCAGAGCTGGTCCTTTGGGATTCCTGACTCCCAAGGAAAGAGGAACAACATTCCCCAGACAGGCCTGGGCCCACCTGTCAATCCATCCCCCTGGCTTCTCTGAGACTCCCCCGACTGGGGCTTTTGGCAAAAAGGGTGGGGGATGGGAGGAAAGGAGGCAGGGGGACAGCTACCTCGACACAACCATCTGGTTGCGGCCTCGGACGTGGAGGTCCTCATTCTCCTGTTGCAGGGTGGTGATTTTCTCCTCCAACATCAGGTTTTTTTCTTTCTGTAGCAAATCAGAATGAGCTCAGAGAGCCACCAAACTCATCCGGCACAATGCGTGCCATCACCTCCCTCTTATCTGTGGTCACTGAAAGCACTGATTCATTCTAGACCAGATGTTACATTTCATGAAGCAATAAGATTACCTAAAAAATACAACTAAGGAGTGAACATAGGGCTGCCAGTTTTTAATTTTCCCACATGAGAACGTTAAAAAAAGAATACAGCCACTATCATCTAATATCTCCATCAGTTCATAAGAGAAAGGATATTTTTGGTTCTCCAAAAGTCAGAAGATATAATCTCTATAAATATAAATAATTGTGTGTCTGTTATGCTATTTCACAAAAATGGCTGAACAAAATTTATAGGGAACATTTGAGACGGTCTGATTAAAACATAGGTTGTGTGGCACACATGAGGCCAGGGAGCCTTCTTCCAGAGCAACATAATCTCTGGATTCAACCCTAGGTTCCCAAAGGCTCCCTTCTCCTGGAGACAAAGCCACCCGTGTCGTCAATGCCCATCACTCCCCAGGCCTGTCCTTGCTGACTCTGGCCTCTCATATCTGTCTGATTTTTCAGCCTTCCCTCCTTCCTCAGCCCCTGCCTGACATGTGACATCTGCCAGCCCCTCCTGCTCAGTCAAGCTACCTTCCCTGGTGTCACCCAAGTTACAGCAACCGGAGTAGCCAAGAAAAGCGCAGGACCCAGATGAGAAGGGGCCACGGCTTGACCCAGACAGGCCACAGACCAGCCTCAGCTGCCTCCAGGGCTAGCGTGGGTGGCAGGTCAAAGCTGGTGTGGATCAGGCTGTGGCCTTCCCTCTGCACACTTGATAGAAGAAATGCCCAGAAAGCACAAGCCTGAGCTGCATCCCCCAGCTGCTTCCACCCACGTACCACTGTTTCCATGAGGATCAGCCGCTTGTCTAGCTCATGAATACGCTCATTCTTCATCTCGATGACAAAGTGCAAGCTCTCCAGCTCCTGCTCCCAGAACTGGCTAGGGCTCCCGTAATCCTAGACAGGGACACAGAGTGACCTCATCAGAGCAGCAGGCAGAGGGGCATGGGCTATCTCCCTCCTCCACATTCTGCCTCCAACACACTGTTTGCCTTACACAAGGCACCTCCCTCTCTTGGCCCATGGTAAGTGCTTAGTATGCTTTATCTCACTCTATCCTAACAATACCCCTTGAGGCGTGCACTAGTACCTTCACAGATGAGGACACCCTGGTTCAGATGGGTTAAGATGGTGCTAAGTGGCAGGTTTTCTTTTTGTACCTAGTTCTCTCTGACTCCAGAGCCCAAGCACTTTACTATGCCATATGCCTCTCTCGGAGCCTTACTTTCCCCCTCAGTGACATGGGGATCCTGTTACTTCCAGGCCATTGTGAAGGTAAGAGTGTCAGATCTGAGCCCTATCCTTGAAGAGAGACTAGCCTTTCCTGTTGCCCAGACCCTGACCTCCCTGGAAATTCAAGAAGGAAAGACCCCTAGGTGTACTGCCACCTACCTGGATGTGCTTCTTATAGTCTCGGCTCAGAATGGACTCCTCTACTTTCTTCATCTTGGCCTGGAAGGCCTCCAGCTGGGAGGTCAGTCCATCAATGGTCTCCTGGAGAAGGGGGCAGGAAGGAGATGATCAAAGCCTGGTTCATAACGGCTGTAGGTGGACATCTCCACATCCCAGAGGGGGATCAGTTTTGGGTTCTTCAGTCTGTCTTCACTCTACCCTACCTGACAATGCAGGCTTAAACTACTTCAACCATTGCTTGAAACACACCAGCCCCAGCTCTTGTTATAAAGCCTTTAATGACTCTCCACATCCTTGGGGACAATGTCTTGGTATTCAAGGCCAGCGTTAGCTTGGCATTCAAAGCGCATCCAAACCAGGCTCAGTGCGTTTTCCCAGTCTCAGCTCCCACTGCTCCCCTTACACCCCTTCTCCTGCACCAAAACACCTCATCGCTCCTCCAATTGCAAGGTGCGTTCTTGTCTCCATACTCTTCCCCTGCCAAGAATTCCCTCCACCTAAACCTTGCCCATTACCTTTAGGAAAGCGTGCAACCTCTCAACAGGGCTCCCAGGCTCCCACCATTTGGCCCTTGCCTACTCTCCAGCCTCTCTCTCCCACCCACGCTCTACGCCCCGCACATCTTGGACTTGTTTCAGTTCCGCGGGCATTCCATATTGTTTCCACTTCCCTCTATGCCTTTTGATGCGCTGTTTTTCTGTCTAAGGCACCTTCCTACCCTTCTTCATCTGAAGAATTGCAAGAACCCATCCTTCAGGTTCCAGCTTAGATCTCACTCCCTCTAGGAAATCCCTGATCAGCCACATTGGGTCAGATGCCTTCTTTCACGCATGCTTCCACAGGTCCCTGTGCACCCAGCCACCAGTCTAATCACGCTGTGGCACCTGGCCTGTGAAGTCTCCAAGATCCTCCCAACAGTCTTTGGAAAAATAGGCCAACCCTAATTTCAAACCAAGTCTCTTGAGCAAATAGTCTGGCCACCACATCAAGGGACCTGGATACATGGAAGACAATCACCTCTGTCCCTCACACCCAGGTGGAAGCCATCAGCTTTGGCAGCTTTGGCTCCAAGCTGCTTTCCTGCAGGTCCTCCCCTGCTCTCACAGAGACTGACACGGCCCAACCTCTCTCACCTGCAGGGCCGCCTTGGCCTCCTGGAAGGAGTGGGTAAGGGCTTCTTTCTCCTGCTCATATGAGGCCCGGAGGACTGTAGGGAAAGGAGACCTCTGTGAGCTCAGACACCCAGACACTTTACCCTAAAGCCTTCTGGCAGGTCCCATGTGGGCCAGAGAGCCCAGGTGACCATTTGGGGCCCATAGGGGCCAGGAATCTGAGAACAGTCTTATTCTTCCTTCTATCTGGGCTTGGGGCTGTGCCAAAAATATAGTAGATATTTAATAAAAGCTCATGGAAATGGAAACAAATTATATCCTGGAGGGACTGTGAACCCTACCAGATTGTGAGTGCCACCCACACCTCATTGAGGCTAAGATCCAAAGTTCTTGCAGAAAGCTTGCTCATCTCAGACCACAGCAAGCCATGGAAAACGCATAGGGTCAATGTCTTGTAAGCTAGGGTAGGCAAATTATTAAATCATTAAATTTTTTTAATTTAATGATTGTCAAACCATGGCACAAAGCTGCAGTAAGTACATTTGGGGCCAGGAAATCTACCTGGTCCTGATTCTGCTTCTTCAACACTGAGAAACCTTGAGGAGAACACTTGAAATACTTAAAAGTCATCAATGTGAGATGGGTCAATAAGCCTGGCCTAGTTGTCTCTAAGGGGTGAGACAAGGACAGGCAAGGGCTTTCTAGGCTGGGTAGTGCTGTGCAGAGCTGGACTTGTCATCATTCTCCAAATCAATAGAGTTATATTTTTCATCCCACCTCCTTTACAAAGTTCCTTTTGGAAAATTCCAACCTTGTCTCAGCTGAAAGATGACAATAGGGAAATGACCAATCAATGGGTGGGATGGGAAATAGGCCAGAGAGGACAGGAAAGGAAAGCTTAATACAGCCAAAGGCCCAGATCCACAAGGGGCCTGTGTCACAGTGGGCAGTGACACAGAGAAAAGAACATTTAGTAATATAAATGTGATAGAGCTGTCAAAACTTGATAAGATCAGCTATATAAAAATTACTTAACTTTTAAAAATTATGGGCCTAATCTGCCTAATTAATTTGCCTATGGAGACAAGTGCTGGTTCCAGGAAGATGGAGGAAGCACACTCTGTCTAGTCTGTCCTATGAATGTAGCCACAAAACCTGGACAGAATGAATGGAGCAGCTGTCTTCAGACTCTGAAAGTAAATGGTAGCAGGCAGACTGGGCGAGACGACCAGAATTCGAAGTACCACTGAACCAGCAGATTTAAACAAGGCCCAGAATCTCATGTATTCAAATATTCAAAATGTCCAGGATATGATACAAAATCGCTCAGCATATGAGTCCAAAATGGCTCAGTATACAAATCCAAAACTGCTCAGCATGCAATCCTAAATACTCAGCATAGAAAGAGGCGGGAAAATCTCAACTTGCCTGAGAAAAGACATTCAACAGATGCCAACACTGAGATGCCACAGATGCTAGAATTATTAACAGAGACTTTCAGACAGCTATTATAAAAATGCTCCATGAAGTAAGAGTGGACACTCTTGAATAGAATGGAAAAATAGAAAGTCTTAGCAAAAAAATAGAAGATATTAAGAAGAACCAAAAGGAAATTTTAAAACTAAAAAATACAATACATGAAAAAAAAAACCCTCACTGGGTGGGCTCAATAGCAGAATACAGATGACATAGGAAAGAGCTAGTGAAGTTGAAGATATACCAATAGAGATTATCCAATCTCAACAACAGTGAGAAAAAATAATGGAAAAAAATGAACAGAGCCCAGGGACCTGTAAGACAATTCCAAAATGTCTACCATTTGTGTCATCAGAGTCTCAGAAAGAGAAGAGAAAGAGTGTAGTGCAGAAAAAGTATTTGAAGAAAGATGGTTGAGTGCTTCCCATATCTGGCAAAATATAAACCTACAGATGAAAGATGCTCACTGAACCCCAAACAAAATAAACCCAAAGAAATTCACACCCAGAGACATCATTTCTGAAAACTAATGACAAAGAAAAAATCTAGAACAGAACTAGAGAAAAATGATGCATTACTTAGAGGAAACAACAGTTTGAATTATTGTGGATTTCTCATTAGAAACCTTGAGACTAGAAGGAATGAAAACATTTTAAAACTGCTGAAATAAAAGAACTTTAAATCTAGAATCCTATATCTAGTGAAAATATCCTTCAGGAAAGAAGGTGAAATAAAGACATTCTCAGATGAAGGAACACTAAAGGAATTCATCACCAGCAGACCTGCTGTAAAAGAATTTCTCAAGGAAATTCTTCTGAGAGAAGGCAAATGATACCAGAGGGAAACTTGGAACTTGAGAAATGTAGGAAGAACGACAGAACTGGGTAAATATAATAGACTGTTCCTCTTCCCTTGAGCTCTTTAAAACATGATTGATGCTTAAAGGCAAAAATTATAACATTGTCTGATAGGGTATTCAACGTATGTAGATGTAATAATAAGACAAGAATAACAAAAAGGGGAGAGGATAGAGGGACCTACGTGATAGTAAGACTTCTACATTCCACTTGGAGTAGTAGAATATTAATGCTAAATAGATGTTACATATATTCTAATTCTTAGAGCAATCCCTAAATATATATAAATACAAAGAGATATAGTAAAAGAGACAATAGGTAAATTAAAATGGAATACTAAAAAGTGTTCAAATCCTCAAAAAGAAAGCAGGGAAGGAAAAATAGAGGACAAACAGAAAAAAATACCAAAACGACAGACCTAAATTCAACATATCAGTGACAACATTAAATTAAATGGTCTAAACACACCAAATAAAAGAATGGATTTAAAAAGAACAAAAACAATTATGTGCTATTACAAGAAACCCACTCTAAATATATGTCACAGGTAGGTTAAAAGTAAAAGGTGGACAAGCAACATTAATCAAAAGAAAGCTGTAGTGGCTATAGTAATTTCAGATGAAGTAAATTTAAGAATACAGAAGATTATCAGGGATGAAGAAGGACATTACATAATGATAAAAGGATGAATTCTCCAAGGAGACATAAAAATCCTAAACATTTATATACCTAAGAATAGTGGTTCAAAATATATGAACCCAAAACTGACAGAACTGAAAGGAAAAATAGACAAATACACAATGATAATTGGAGACTTCAACATTTCTCAATATTCAGTAGAAAAAGTAGGCAGAAAATCAGGAAGAATATGGAACTGAACGAGACCATCAACCAACTTGATTTAATTGATTCATTTATAAAATACCATATATTTATAAAATACAACCTAACAATAGCAGAACACACATTCTTTTCAAGTGCACACGAAACATTCACAAGATAGACGGTATCCTGAGTCATAAAACAAGCCTTAAATTATAAAAGGAGTAAAATACAAACTACGTCCTCTGACCGTAATCAAACTGGAAATCAGTAACAAAAAGAGAACTGGAAAATCTCCAAACACTTAGAAGGAAATACATTTCTAAATATTCAATGAGCCAAAGAGGAAGTCTCAAGAAAAATCAGAAAATATTTTGAACTGAACAAAAATTTGCGGGATGCAGATAGTACAGTGCTTAGGGGGAAATTTATAGCACTAAATGCTTATGTTAGAAAAGGAGAAAGCTTGCAAATCAACAATCTAAGCTTCTAGTTTAATAAATCAGAAAAAGAAGAGCTAACTAAATATAAAGCAAGCAAGCAGAAGGAAGGAAATAAAAATAACAGAAATCAATAGGAAAAAAATTAATGAAACCAAAAGCTGGTTCTTGGAAAGGATTAATAGAGTTGATAAACCTCAACCAAGAGTGACCAAAAAAAAAAAAAGAGAGAATGCACAAATTACCAATATCAGGAACTTAAGAGGGGATATCACTATAGACACAGAAAATATTTACAACAAAGAGACCACTATAAACAATTCTATGCACATAAACTTGACAACTTAGGTGAAATGTATCAATTCCTGAAAAACTACAAAATACCAAAATTCACTCAAGCTAAAATACATAACTTGGACATTCCTATAACAATTAAAGAATTTGAACTTGTACTTAAACACTTTCTGGAAAAGAAATGTCTGAGCACAGATGGTTTCAGTGGCAAATTATACTGAACATTTAAAAATGATATAATGCCAACTCTATACAATCTCTTCCAGAGATGGAATAGGAAGGGACATTTCCCAACTCATTCCATGAGGCAAGCTGCACTCTGATACTAAAAGCAGACAGATGGTACAGACTAATAACCCTATGAACAAAGACACAAACATCTTCAGTAGAATATTAGCAAATCAAATTCAGCAATATATAAAAAGAATACACCATGACCAAGTGGGGTTTATGCCAGGAATGCAAGGTTAGTTAATTGATCTGAAATTCAAATCAATGTAATCAACCATATTGACAGTCTAAAGAAGAAAAATCACATGATTATATGGGTCATAGATCTAAATGTAAAACTTAAGACCATAAAGTTTTGGAAGACAACATAGAAGATCTTTCTTATCTGGGGTTCTGCAAAGAGTTTCTGGATATGACGCCAAAAGCATAATAAAAGAAAAAAATAATAAATTGGAATTTACCAAAATTAAAAGCTTTTCTTTGTGAAGAACATTGTTAAAATAACGAAAAAACAAAAACAAAAACAAAAAAAAACCCACCCAGACTAGGAGAAAATATTTACAAATACAAAGGACTCATATGCAAAATATATAAAGATCTTTCAAAACTCAGTAAGAACAAATAAGCCAATTAAAATGGGCGCAAGATTTGAACTGACATTTGACCAGAGGATATACAGACAACAAACAAGCACAAGAAAAGATGTTCAACGTTAGTCATTATTGAAATGCGAATTAAACCCGCAATGAGATATCACAGCACACCTATTAGAACAGCTAAAATAACAAATATTGCCAAGTGTTGGCAAGAAAGAACAGTGGAGCTCAGACATTGCTAATGGGAATGTAAAATGATGGTCACTGGGGGAAACAGCTTAGCTATTTCTCATAAAACTAAACATACATTTATTATATGACCTATTAATCCCACTCCTCTGTATTTACACAAGAGAAATGGAAACTATGTCCACACAAAAACCTGTACGTGAATGTTTAGAAGAGCTCTGTTCATAACTGCCTCAAACTGGAAACAATCCAAATGTCCTACAACAACTGAATGAGTAAACAACAGAACACAGCTCAGCAATGAAGAAGCGCAAACTGTTGATACACACAACAACACAGGTGAATCTCAAAGACATCATGATGAGTGAAAGAAGCCAATAGCAAAACCATACTGGGGCCGGCCCGGTGGCGTAGTGGTTAAGTTCACGCGCTCCACTTTGGCGGCCCAGGGTTCACGGCTTTGGATCCTGGGTGTGGACCTACACACAGCATCAAGCCATGCTGTGGCGGCATCTCACACACAAAACAAAGGAAGATTGGCAACAGATGTTAGCTCAGGGACACTCTTCCTCTCTCTCTCACATACACACACACAAATCATACTGTATTATTTTGTTTATGTAATAGCCTCAAAAAGACAAAACCATAGTGATGGAGAACACATCAGTGGTTGAGAGGGGTTGAGGTGGGGGAGGATGAGAGTACAAAAGGGCAGCCTGAGAGAGTGTTTTTGGGGTGATGGAACTGTTTTGTATCAGATTATGCTGATGGTTACATAAATCTATACATGTATTAGAATTTATGGAACTGTACACCAACAAAAGTCAATTTTACTGTATGGTGATTTAAAAAATAAAGATAAATGTAGAAAATAAAAGACAACAAAGGGTCATCAAATGTGAAAAACCACCACTAGCTTCTCCCAGTTATCTGTGTACTTTCCCCAAACAAATAAAATCCTATGTATTTCCCCCATGCTATGGTTTTATTCACTCATTTAATACATGCTTATGTAGCACCTAATATGTGCCAAGCAATTTAAAAATAACTATAAAAAAATTAAAAATAAAAATAACTATGAAAGAATTCTGACTGATGGAAAGAACTCAAGACAAGTAGTTCCTTCTCTTCTGGGGTTTTTACAATAGGAAATTTTTCTTATCAATATATTAATAATGCTGAAAATAATATCAAAGCAATGCTTGGTGAACAGTTGTTTTTCTACAACAGCCTTGTGAGGTAGGGAAGGTAGATTTCAGAGATATAGAAACTGCACTGAGGTTGAGTGCCAGGCCCAGTTCCACAGGGTGTATTAGAATTAAATTGCACCTCTTCACATTCCCAGGGCAAGGGCTTCAATTCCATTTCAAAATGTTTTGTGCTAATGTTGCAATATGTTTCAAGAATCTTAAAATTGTTCAGACCTCTGTTCTAGTTATTCCATTTCTGGGAATCTAAGGACATAATGTGAAATGTGGGCACTTCTTGATGCAAAAGACATTTAGTGCAGTGTTATTTACAGTAGTTAAAACCTAGATGCTTAGCACACGGGAAATAAGGAAAACCATGTATGCACTGGGCCAGCCTTTATAAGCATTTTAGTAGTGGCACAATTACTTGGAAACATGTTTGATACAACGTTAAATGAAAAGAACAGGATAGAAAATTTTACATATAAAATCATCATAATTGTATTTTTAAAAGAAATAATTCTGGGGAAAGGTCATGGACATACTGATGATTAAAGGAAAAATTGGTATCACACTTTCTAGGTCAATTTCAGTTGCATCAAAAATATACATAACCTTCTCCAAAGAAGATATACAAACGGCCAAGAAGCACATGAGAAGACACTCAGCAAAATTAGTCATTAGGGAAATGCAAATCAAAACCACAATGACATACCACTTTGCACTCAATGATAATGATAATAGTGATAGTAATAATAGCAGCAACATCAACGGAAAAAAACAAGTGTTGGCAAGGATGCCATGCAACTGGAACCCTCGTACACTGCTGGTGGGAACGTAAAGTGGCGCAGCCACTGCGGAAAACAGTTTGGCGGTTTCTCAAAAACTTAGGCACAGAATTGCCATCTGACCTAGCAATCCACTCCTGGGTGTACACTCAGGGGAATTTAAAGCAGGTGTTCACAGGTGCTTGTACTAGTGGCACTCTTCACAGGGGCCAAAGGGTGGAGGCAGCCCAGGTGTCCATCAACCGAGGAATGGATAACAGAGTGTGGTATTTCCATGCAACGGAATATTGTTCAGCCATAAAATGGAACAGAATGGAAAAATATAAAAAATGGGAGAAAAAAAGGAATAGAGTGCAAATGCATGCTGCAGCGTGGATGAGCCTTAGAAACATTATGGATGAAGGAAGCCAGATGTGGGGCCACAGGTTGTGTAACTGCATTTATATGAGTGTCCACAATGGACAAAGCCTAGAAACAGAGAGCGGATTGGCAGGTGCCAGGGGCTGTGGGGAGAAAGTATGGGGGTATCCTTGGTGGGTAAGGGGTTTACTTTAGGATGATGATAGTGTTCTGGAACTGGATAGCGGTGATGATTGCAGAGCACTGTGAATGTACTAAATGTCACCAATGGTAAATCTTATGGTATGCGTTTTTTACCAAAATAGAAAATATATATACATAAACTTTGCCACACCAACTCTACTAGGATGTTATTCTAACAATAAAATCATGAAGGTGGCAAAGATTTTACAAAATGGGGTTTTGTAAGTGTAAGTCTCATTGCTATTATAAACAATGGTGAAAGTTTGAAATTACCTAAATGCCTAATCAAAGGGGATCAGTTAAATGAAGAAGGGCATACACTGGAATGCTATGTAGTTACCAAAATTTATGTTACAGAAGTTTAATGACAAGATGTTAATAGAATTCAAAGTGAAAAAAACAAATTATCTCCTTTCCCATAAGTATATATGTGTGTATAGATGTATACTCTAGGTATATACACACAAGAGAAATGAAAGTGATCTATAGCAAAGGAGCAACAGTGACTAGTTCTGGGTGGAATTACACATAATTTTAATTTCCTCAACAATAAAATAATAAGTGCCAATAATTATTTGCTAAGTATCTTGCAAAATATCAGGCACCATTCCAAATCCCATCTATCTATCTAAAAATTAAATTAAATCATTTAATTCTCATAAAGATGTTATGAATGAGGTTCACTAACTTCTTCAAGGTTATACAGCCAGTAAGTGGGGGAGCTGGGATTCAAACCCAGGGACTGTGGCTGCAGAGTCTGAGATCCTAACCACGGTGCTATAAGATCTTCTTGTTTAATCCATAGACTCTAAATTTTCTATGATGATCACATTACAAATAAAAGGAAAGAAATCACTTGAAAAAAATAATCAACCTAACCATAAACTGTAAGAGCTGTCATCATTGTGGAGAAGGAATATGGATATTTAAAAATTCTGTTTGTCTAGATTTTCCAAATTTCCTTTAAGGAATATGAATTGCTTTTAAAAATGGAAAGAAAAAACCCCCTCAACTAAGGTGAAACAAAGCTTGGTGTCAAACTTTTAAAGCCACGTCCCAAAGGACAGGCCCAGGGACCCTGCAGACTCCAGCCCTGAAGCAGCCAACTGCTGGTGGACCAGAGGTGGGAGGCAAAGCCAGCGAGAGCGCCCTGTGAACTCGGCAGGTGGGGACAGAAGAAGGGCCCATTCACACCCTCCCTACTGGAGCATCTCCATCCTTACCTTGCAGGGTCTCCTCATGTTCTCCCTCCAGGACTCTTCGCTGCTCCCCCAGTTTCTCTCGAAGCTCTAGCTCCCTCTCTTTCTCCACCTGGGGGCGGAAGGTCCCGAGCATGATGAGATTGAGTAGGTTCCGCGCAGCCTCGCTGATCCACTCACTGACCCCTGGAGCTTTGTGGAGGTTGGTGATCAGAGTCCCACCCCCTCATCTGAGTGATGGGAACGACAGGTGCTCAGAGAGGGCACAAGACCTCCAAGACACGGCAGATGCGGCCAACTCTGCCTTCTTTTGGGCTTAGAAGGGGGGGGTCCCAGAGAGTTTTCTTGGTGGAGAGGGATTGAGGGTGCCCTCTCAGGGTAGGAAGCCCTTCGACTGGGTTGGAGTATTTCCACACCGTTCATTGCGTATGATAAATTATATGTGAGCAGTTACAAATATTTGTTCAACAGATAAAGGACTCCCTTCTTTGCAAAAGGAGTAAGAGATACTTACAACAACAATAAAGCCCGAAACTGGTCTTCACTCTGGGATTTAGTGAGGTGAGCTGAGCAGGAGGAAGAGAAAGGGGTGGGGTCACCCGGACTTACCTGTTGTGCCCATTTCTTCCTGTCCTCTTCATGTCGCTGGAGAATTCTGGTTATATCCTTCTGGTGCTGCTCAGCCTCCTCAGACGCACAGAGCTGGACAGTTGTGGCTATAGGTGAGGAAGCAAAAAATCACAGAGTGGAGGTGGGGTCAGGGCCCAGCAAAGAGGGAGGCCGGGCTAAGGGGTGGGAACCCTGGTCTGCACCTCAAGAATGCTTTCATTTGGGGATCAACCTCCAGAGGCAGCCCCTCAAATCTCTCTGGCTTTGGAGACCCTCCTTCAGGGTCTCCTTCCGGCCCCTAGCACCTACGGCAGAGCTGGTAACTCGCAGGACAGATTCAGCCCAGGAAGATGTTCTATTTGCCCTACCCAATATCTAAATTAAAAAAAAATTAGTTGCTGATCTCAAACTCTTTGAAAAAAATTGAAAAAGAGGGAAGACAATTTTTTTAAATAACTGGGTAGCTTTTACTTAATAGAGATTTCCAACTTTTCTTGAAGAAGCCAAAGACCTGGCAGTGTGTGCCGTCAACCAGGAGCCGGAGCTGGGGGGCAGCTGCCTCCCGCTTTGTCCAGGATGTGGCTCTGCCCTTTGCCACAGTCCTCACCTCTCCCTACTGAGCACATGTATAAGGGGCCACTTCGTCATGCGCCTTACCTGCTGGGGGAGCCTGTGAGTGTCTGAGCGTGTGACCTCTCACCTTCAGCATCTCCCAGCTGGAGGTAGAAGAGCTGCTGCAAGTGGGAAGGAGATGCAAACAGGAAGCCTAGCCCTCGCTCAAGGAAACTCCAGAACAGGCCCCGCCAATGCTACTCCGGGTCTGACGGGCACTGGGTATGACCTAAGGCAGTGACCCATTCTCTCTGTGCCTCAGTTACCCAAAATGTGAAATCAGGATAATAATATCTTCCTCATGGGGCTCTTGAGATGATTAAATCAGAAAACAATGGCAATAAAAATAGTAACAGCAGGTAAGGAACACTGAGAGCTTACCATGCCCAGGAACAGGCCTCACAGGTATTACTCACTCCATCCTCACACCAACCCAGTGTGGTGGGTACTATGACTATACCTATTTCACAGATGAGGAAACCGAGGGACAGGGAAGTTAGGCAACTTGCCCAAGATCACTCAGTTCACAATCGGGGGGAGGAGCTATGAACCTACACAGTCTGATCCCACGGCAGACACTCCTGACGGCCACCTTACTCTGCCTGCTAACACACAAAAAGTAAGTGTAGTGCCAGGCACTTGGAGATGCTCAATGAATGTTCTTTATTGTTCATTAAGTGTTCATCGCTGCTCACAACAAGCATTAGAGGCTACTACTAGCGCTGTTCGCATTATTATTAATGTTGGTATTATTATTACAGAGCTCCATGGGGAGGGTCTGGCAAAAAGTATGAGGAGAAATGTGAGGAAAGGGGCCGGGAAGGAGAAGCTGACTCTGTGGTCAGCCCATCAGCATAGGAGGAGGAGTGAGTCATGCCCTGGGTCCTGGGGGTGGCAGTGGTCAAGATCAGAGGGCCCCGGACTCTCATAAATCATTTGGCTCATGGCCCCAGACGTTGGTCCCCGAGACCAGTACCAGGCTGGTTCCAGCTGGAGAGAAGCTTATTAAAAAGATACATCATCACTTACAATGCAGATCCTTCAGCTCCCCTCCCAGAGAGTCTCACTTCAGTGGTCTGTGGTGGGGCCCCAGGATCTGCATCTCTGAAGTTCTCCCAGGTACTTCTTTTTTTTTTTTTTTTTTAAGATTTTTTTTTTTTTTTTTTTCCCCCAAAGCCCCAGTAGATAGTTGTATGTCATAGCTGCACATCCTTCTAGTTGCTGTATGTGGGACGCGGCCTCAGCATGGCCGGAGAAGCAGTGCGTCGGTACGCGCCCGGGGTTCGAACCCGGGCCGCCAGTAGTGGAGCGCGTGCACTTAACCGCTAAGCCACGGGGCTGGCCCCTACCCAGGTACTTCTTATGTATAGCAGATTGGGGAACCTCTGAATTCTGGTCCAATTGCTTATGTGGTACTTTGACCTCATCTACAATATCACTGACAGCCTCCAGGCTGTAATTAAACACTCTCAGAGATGAAGAGCTCATCTATTACTATGTCACTCTGATGGTTTTAAACCAACAACCACAGAAAAAATCCTTTGAGGTTGAACTTGACTTCTGCCTGCCTGTTCCTGCCGCCTCGGGGCTGTAGTTGACCTCTGGGTCACACTGAACAAGGCTCATCTTTCTTCTCCATGAGGGCATTTCAGACACTTGGAGAGAACTGTTGTGTTTTACTGCAGCATCTTCTTTCCAGGTAGAACATCCTCTGTTCCTTTAACTGTTCTTTATAGGACATGGTTTCCAGATTCCTCACCAGCCGGATCTTTCTCCACTGTACTCCCTCCAATTTTCCTGGATTACTCTGAAAATGTACTTTCCAGAAATAAACTCAGTGCTACAGGTGTGGTATCAACAGCCGGGAACAGGGAAGTACAGGTCAGGATTATCACCTTCCTGATTTCAGACATGATACTCCTATTAATGTAACCTCCCTAAGATCTCATGAGATAATTAAATAGCTATATCACCTGTGTTGATTATAAAGTAGAAAACCTCATGGATGTTGGGGAGGGCATGTATAGGGCTGGCTACTTACCAGTGTCTCCATTGAGGGGACCTAGTTCCTGTGGTTCTGCTTTGGGTCGCTGATCCCATTCTTGGCGCCTCTGGAAGAAATGTGGCAACAACGAGGTGAAGGTAGAGGGTAGGAGGTCAATGTGAGGATGGATGCTATAGTAGGATTCTTCCAAAGGCAAGACAGGACTTCCAGCTATGCCAGACCCTGCCCTGTGCCCAGTCCACTTAGGCTGCCTCCCTCACCATCCCAAGACAGCACTCCCTCTGCGGGGAAGGGTCCCAGAGCCGGATTTCTCATCTTGGCCAGGGAAACCCTCAGCAGGGGGTTTGATGCCGGCTGACCTCTCCTTAGATTCTTGTGGTCTGGCTCCTGCCACCAGCCATGGGGCCCCTCCTGTCCACCTCTACCTTCTTCAACCAGGCCTTCTGCTATCACCCTCACCCCAGGGACTCCCCCAGTTCAGAGGCAAGTCCTCTTTCCTCTCAGGGCCTGTGGCCACCACAACGTCCAGCCAAGTTCCCCGTATGGGGGCAGAGCATCAGAGTTCACGCCATGGTTTTACCACGCTTGTTCTCTGTTAGAAAAGGCTGTTCCCCCAATATGAGGAGACAATAGTACTTCCCTTGACAGACGGGGGTGAGATACTGTAATCAGCCTGTACCGGGCACTATGCTGTCTTCTCTACACGATCTCAGCTAATCTTCAGAAGGACTCTGGGAAATATGAATACCCCCAATTTAAAGATGAGAAGGCTGAGGCAGGTCAGGACCCAATCAAGGTAGATTAGGGGATAACTGGCAGAGTCTAGTATTTGAGCCGTACCTAGTGGGCATTTTAACCAACCTTGGCCAGTGTTGGTTGAATCTGATCACAGGACAGAACTAATGCGAAAGGGCTTTCTGTACCACAGAGCAGTATCAGGGCTCCCAGATTCTCAGTTTCCATACGTTATATATATATATATATATATATTTTTTTTGATGAGAAAGAGTGGCCCTGAGCTAACATCTGTGCCAATCTTCCTCTGTTTTGTATGTGGGATGCCGCCACAGCATGGCCTGATGAGCGGTGTGTAGGTCCGCACCCAGGATCCAAACCTGTGAACCCCCGGCCATGGAAGCGGAGCATGAAAACTTAACCACTATGCCACCAGGCTGACCCCCATAAATAATATTTTTAAATAGGAGAGTTGATATGGGTTGATGGGCAAGGATGCTGAAAAAATTATTTACAGACTATCACTGTCATTTCATAAAATAGAGGACATTTTAACCTTCCACAGTACAGTAAGCAAAGCTAAACACAGTTCTTCCAGGAAAGGGAACCAGCATCCTTACTCAGCGTTACCCACACGCTCACACCTTCAAACTTCTCATTTCACACCAGATAGGTGAAAAGTTGCCCAGGGTCTGGCTCTGGACACTGGACCAGGATGTGGGGTGGAAAAAAAATTTAAGCCCTTTTGTATATTTTTCAAGATTTTTTTTTTTTTTTTAAAAAGGATATTCTAGACCCCATTTTAAGAAACACTTTTAGAAATAAGTCAGCCTATGAAAATGATCACTGTAAAAGAAAAACTTTACTTTTTACTGTGGTCACAGATTTTTAAAAGTAATTATTAGAATAAAAATGATTGAAAATTTCCTGAACTCAAGAATAACTGAAATGCAGCTAGAAAGCATACTTGTGGTTGGGGAGGGAAGATAAATCAAGGGCAGGCTTCTAGAACATTCTGCTCCTGCCCCACAGGCACAGAGCCTGGCACAGTGAGAGCCTCTGGCAAACCGAGAGAGATATGGCAGCTCCCCCAGACCCTGGTGCCCCAAATCCCCTCAGCGGCTGGGCACGTCTGACAGTGGAGCTCTCTGTCCACCCTATGAAGACTGGGCCCTTCCTGCCCAGGGGAGAGGGGCTGCCTGGCCCAGGCACAATCCAGGGAAGCTGTCAACGCAGGAATCTGGGGAAGTGACAGGAGCCAGCCTCTCCACCCTGGGCTGGAGGAAGGAGGGAGATAACACAAATGGTTGTCTCGTCCCTGTTGCCACCCCTGGTTGCACTAATCTGGGCAACGTTTTTACGGGAGTGAGAATTCCTGAATTCCAGTCTGGCTCTGTCCACATACTTGGACAAATCTCTTCCCTCCTCTGAGCTCCTGCTTCCTCCTTTGTGAAGTGGAGGCGAGGAGGTCTTAGTGTAACCCAACGATCCCCATGGCGTTCAAACTCTGAGTGTCTGGTCTCAGCTCCTCTCACAGCACTGTAAGGCAAGGGTTATTACCTGTGAGCAGACTGAAGCTCCAGAAGGTAAGACACGGTCACATGGTGCCTGGATGTCAAAATCAGCATCAGAACCAGGTCTCACAACATTTGAGACGGGAGCAGCGTGGTTAAGAATTCAGATTCTAGAATCACCCAGATCTGGATTCGACTCCTAAATCCAACACGTGTGACTATATGGCCTCTCCAACCCTTGGTTTCCTCACGAGGTCATTTTAAGGGTTAGGTAACATAATGTGCCTATAATGTCTGGCATATTCTAAGAGTTTAAACATTGCATAAGTTTATTACTTTATGTTTGAAAACCATGGCAAGAACAAAGAGCCCACAATGCTCTGGTAGATTTCTTTGGCTGCCAGAGGCCTCAGGTTCCTGAACTAAGATCACAAAGCTCATGAGAGCCGTCTTCTCCCCAGTAACAACTACAGACAAGTGAAAACTCCTCTCCACTAACAGATTCCCGACCACGGGCAGGACGTGGCCGTGCGCTCAGGCCCCCAGATCCTGACAAAACCACCCCTAGGATAACTTGCTCAGAATGACATTCAAGACAGCACAGTCTCTCCTCAGTCTACCATCCTCCTCGTCATTGTCTTCACATTTAAATATTTGTAAACTTCCTTTTGCAATTATAGTAGTAGCGAGTAATATACATATTTATTCGTTATTGGAATATTACATATACTTCCTTATATCTTACTTCTTCAAATATACTATGAGCATTTTACTCCATGGCATTAAATATTCTGTAAATATATTAATTTTAATGAGTCAAATATTACATCCTTCTGGATGAATTTAATCATTAATCTGCTGTTGAGTATTTAGATTCTCTCCATTTTTAAATTTCCAAATTATGCTTTAGTGAACACACTGATTTGTGAGATTTTTTACACATCTGAAATTCCAGCTCCATCCTCCAGAAAGGTTCTGTCAATTAACTCACTCACTAATAGCACACAAGAAGGCCAGCTTCACTGCAACCTTGCCAACACGGAATAGTATCACTTTTTAAAAAATGTTGGCAAATTTGCTAGGTCAAAACCAAACCAGAACAACTTATTGTGCTCTTAGCCCCAACATGCTACCCATGTGTTCAAGACCATCCCAGCATGACAAATAGTTGAGTTCTAGGCCTACAGAATCCGAGGGTGGTGTGTGTGCTGAGAAGCACCAGTCTACCAATCTATCCAGACAACTCTGATGTTCACAAAAGCCTGAAGACACAGCTCAGCGCTGAGCAGGAATTGATAAGCAACCACTGCAAGGAAATCCCCAGGTTGGAGCCTTGGCAGTTTCCTCCTCAGGGGTCATGGCACAGAGTTCACCCTGCAGTGGAGAGGACAGGAGCTGGGGGCGGGACGCAAGAATTTCCCCTTCCAGGAGCAGAGCCGGGGAGGCCTAGGGCTGGGTGGGGTATCCGGACTGAGCTCTGGAAGAGGGATGGCAGCTTCCTGAGTCAACGGAGACTTGGGAGAAGAAAGCTACGGAGGTGGCAGCTGGCAGCACGGGATGTAGGGGAACCCAGGACTGGGGGACAGGCCACGAGACCTGGGTTCCAGCTTTACTGTGTGACTTTAGGGAAGTCCCTTCCCCTCTCTGGACCTCTCTTTTTCTATCTGTGATGGGTCAGGGTTGGAACAGAAGTTCTTCTCAGTCCTGAACGCCAGGGCAGCCCTTCAACTAAGAAGGCTGGAAATAGGGCCCCTATATCTTGGTGACACGCACAGTTCTGGGACCAGCTCCTTGTTGTCTAGCAGACCAGAGTCCTGCTCTGGGTTCACCCCAAAGCAAATCTGGTCTGCAGTAGGACACGGCTGCCCTAGCACACAGAGTCAGGGCAGAGAAGGAGGACGGTGTCCAGAGCTGAGGAGAAGACAGACAGGTTCAGACTGGGCCTGGTGAGACCCCCTCGAATACGCTCGCATTTTGGAGCATAAACTGACAAATGGGAAGGTGTCCAAAAGGAATTGAAGGGATGTGGAAAGAGACTCAAAACCAAATCACAGGAGGGACTGTTAACAGAACAACAGCTGGTCAGCCTCAAGAACAGCCAAGAGAACCTGGCCGTTCTCTGTAGGACTGTCACGAGGTAGAAGCCACTGGTGTGTGGTCCACTGCCTTGGAGGGCAGAGTTGTGGCCAAGGACTGGAAGCTTCAAGGAGAAGTCTCAGCTCAACATGAAGAAGAATTTCAGAACTATCCCAAACAGAGTAGGCTGCCCTGTCAGAGAGTGGGGTGTGGTGGTGATAGTGAGCTCTCTGTCACTGGTAGCACGCACGAAGAGGTAAACTTCATTTTGCAGGTTAAACTAAGTGATCTCAGAGGACCCTCAATTGCACAGTCTAATTCTATAACGTATCCCTGATGTTCAGCAAGTAAAGCCCTCCAGTAAGCATAAAGCGTTTAACCAGTGCAGTAGTGCAGGTGGTAATGTAAAACCCACCAGCCTTAACAGAGCCTCAGAGGGCTCTGCTGAGTATTATTCAGGTTGCAGTACTTTGAGGCGAATTTCTGTCATCCCAAAGCCTTTGGAATAGACTCCTTAACTTCCCTCAAATTCTGAGCCCCACCAGGCAAGCGTGAGTAAGGCAGAAGCAACTTGGACAGAAGCTGCCCAGCTATTCCTGCCTTGGGAATCCTACTGGGAAGGAAGCCAAGAGTAACCCTGAGGATGGCTCAGCCTTTCCTGAAGACACTTGGTCTAACCTCGCTTTAGTGACCATCACTCCCTCCTTTTCGTGGGCCTTCAAGGCTTTGTGTATTTCTGATTGAGTGCTAGGGTGCAGGTCCTCATTATTCCTGCTTAGCC